ATCATTGAAATTATTTTTTTATGTAGGATCTTTGAAATTATTTTTTTTTAGGATCATTGAAATTATTTTTCTATGTGGGATCATTGGAATTATTTTTTTATATAATAGAATTTTTTAGGAAATTCAATTTGTTACATGGTAGGATTTTTGAGCTGCAAAATTAATTTGTTAGTGGAACTTTGGATTCTTTAAGTTATTTTATTGTATAATAAGGTTTTTGACCTTCGAAATTAATTTGTTATGTAATAAAATTTTTAAGCTGTAAAATTATTTTATTATGGAGTTTTTGTTTTGTAAAATTGTTCTGTTATAGAGTAGGATTTTTTATCTTTAAAAATATTTTATTATACAGTACAGTATTTGATTTTTTTTAAATTTTATTATTCAGTACAGCTTTCGATTATTAAACAATTTTATTGAAGAGTATAATTTTTTATATATAAACAGCTTTACTATAATAAACATTTTGAAGAATTTTCCATTATAATTTAGTAAGAAACAAAACACACTTTTTAAACAGTTTCTCAAGATAAGAAAAAATGTAAATAAAAAAATATAACTACACATATTCGATTTTTTGTGTCACCAAAAATCAAGATCATATTTTTCAGATCTTTTGTCATTAAAATAAAAATTGAAAAATTAAAATTAAAGCAAAATTGAATGATGACTAAGAAGCTTCCAATTATAGAGGGTTGAAATGATTTAAAATTCAAATAATTGATATATTTGTGAAAACTTGATAACATTGGTAACTTTGACAAAGTTTCGATAATTGGAACAGTTGCAGAAATTGGTCTGTTGAGTAGGAAACAGTGTATTCGCGATCGAGCGAAAGAAAGAACCCGATCCCGTAAAGGAAATTCATGTCCTGTCTGCCTCGTAAAGCTTGCGTAGTCTGCTCGCTGTTTAAGGGTGCTCGGTAAGCGTTAACCCTTCGAAAAGGGCGAGACACCGAGGGATATTGTACCCCGTCCCTATATCGTAACTTGATTTCCTTTTACGTATCTTGCTGTCGCTACTCTGCATCTTGCATTTCGTTGTGTCTGTCATTCATTTTGATTAATCCATTAACTGCCGCAGTGAAAATTGAGATAATTAGTACGGCACGTTTTTATGTTATTTATTTTTAAAATGTTTAATTTATGTTTGTATCATTGCTTATTGTCTGCGCTTTTATTTATAGAAATATTTTTGTAAACTTATTTTACGGAAGTATAAGAAATTTTTAATTTTTCAAATTTTGGTAAATTTGTATTGTAAAAATACAGAAGCTATTATAAGTAATAAATAGGTTTTTAATTTTTGAAATTTTGATAAATTTATTTTGTAAAAATACAGAATCTATTATAAGCAATAATATAAGTTTTTAATTTTTCAAATAAATTCACAAAATTAAGTATTCAAAATTAATTGGATAAGCTGTTCAAAACTGATCATTTATTTATTCTACACAACAGCATACAGTAAATTCATGTAACTTCAGATTGTTACATACTCTATTATTTTTATATATGCATGTCGTATGTTATGTAATTTTTTATATTTTTAAAATTTTATAGTAGAGTTTTATTAGCTATTTTAAAATGTACAAAATAATAAAACACTAAATTCAAATTGTAATATAATTTTGTATGAAAATGAAATGTTAATTTATACACGCTTTAAACATATTTATTATAACATCTGAATTAAAATAAACACTCAGATCAAAACAATTTTAATTTCTTCATTAGGTTAGACATTATTTTATATTTATTATGATCTTCACTGCTGTTTTTGTATATAATAAAACATGTTATGTTACAAACCTAATTTTCTTTTTTTAGTCCAAATATATTTTTATTATTAAATTAATTTGTAGTCCTATTATTTTAAACAGACAATCTTCATCTTGAATTTCTTTTCGTTAAAAATTTATGAGAAAGCTGCAAAAGAGTAATGAACGCTTCCAGCATTTCACAAAACAAAAAAGTCGGAAGAAAAAACAAATTGCAATCCTGTTTTCGAACTTAATATAAGTTGATCTTTGCAATACTCCAATAAAAATTTGTAGCACTTGAATCAACCGTGAATCAAAATCCACAAACAGAGACCACAAAAAATAAAGAGTCTACAATGGAAACAAGCTACAACGGATATTGACAAGTTTCCAATTTTTTGAAAAACGAAAAGAAGTATCAAAATGAAATCCTCTATACTTCCTAGCACGCAGTTTCTTTTCGTCCCGTGTTTACAGCTGATCGGAGTTCCACATTAAAAATAGTGTTCGTTGCGTTACACTCGGAGTTCACCCCTATTTCCCCGATGATCGAAATTGGTACCAAAACTTCGGGTAAAAAAATTCTCAGCGAACAAAGAGACCCCATTCCTCACCGGCAACCTAACAAGATGTATGCATCCGAAACAAGCCGAAACAGCTCCGCTATAAATATCGCGAAACATGTCATCGCCGCGTTACACTCGGAAGCAGGCTCCATTTAAATCACCTCGAGGAATCTCGATAAGTGGGCACCGTGAAAAAATCCATCTTAACGAACTATCTTACTCTCAATCTACTCTTAACGAACAAATGATCTAACGTTCCTCTACTAATCTCAAAATTCGTAAAATCAAATCGATAAAAAAACGGTTTTGCTATAAATGAAACAGTCGAAAAATATCGGAGCGCGTGGTACACGGTTTCCTCGGGGAACGAAATACCGGAAGTAAACGAAAGGGTATCGGCATCCCGATATCCCGACAAAGGGGGTTCATCTCGTTGGCGCGTCGAAAAAAAGAAGCTGGCAGAAGGACGAAGAGCAGCGTTCGGAGGATAAAGAAAGAGGAGAGAAAGGCGTAGGAGGAGCTCGCGGAGAGTCAAAAGAACGCGAGAAGGAAGGAAGGAAGGTGGGTGCTCGGGGCCGGTGAAGGGCAGGAGGACGCAAGAACGCTCGCGGAGTAGGAGAAGGCCGGCGAAGGAGGAGAAGGCGGAGAAGTAGGAGGAGAAGGAGACGAAACATGCATGCATGCATGCATGCATGCATGAGACAGGCAGGCGGACAAACAGGCAGACATAGAGGCAGGCACAAGGCATAGAGGCATAAGGGCAGATAGGCGAGCCGCTGCCGCAGCCGCAGCCGCGATCGCGCGCTTCAACAAGGGAAGTGGGGACAGCATAACGCAGCGCGGCCGCGTGTGCAGACCGCTTTTGCAGAGCTTCGCTCGGCACACCGGGCAAACGTTCCGCCTTGTACCGCTGCTGCTAGCTGCTGCTGCTGCTAGCTGCTGCTGCTAGCTGCTGCTGCTGCTGCTG